TGGCTTCCAGATAATTATGATAAACCATGGACAAATTCTAACAAATGAATGCTATGAGTGTTTTCTTGCCTTTACGTCCGAGTTTGACAGATCTTTAGATTTCCAAGAATTTCATCGCTTGTATATTACATAAGCAATGCCAATCTGTTAGGATTATTTTCTATTTCATTGTTTAAAATATCAATCAAATCTTGTCATACATTCTGAATGAGGAGTTTCCAACAGAACGTTGAGCTGTTTGAGTTTTGTCAATTTTGTACTTTGATATCATAGTTTGCTATTTGAAAATGCTTTAGTGCTAAGGATGCACAAACTGCACCAATGTATACACTACATGAATGATGGCTTAAATCTCGGAAGCTGCTAAATTGCCACACAGATCCATTTTTGAGGAAGAAATGTCAGTAGGAAAGGGTAGAAAGTAACGGGGAGACTGTCTGAAAATACCATCACTGCTTCTGCGATCAGCCTGAGGGCAGGACTGGCAAAATGATTGACTAAAAATTTATACACATGTTCAATTTATTTTGATTGGTCGGAGGAAAAAACATACTAGTAGAGGAGTGTGGATGAGAGGTTTTTATGCCGTCTTTACATGTCAAGATGGCATAGGGCAATCAGCATCGTTGAAAGAACTTTCTGGCCTTGTCAGATGTGTTATGAATCAGGTTTATGATTTAGTGTCTTTCATTTGAGGATGTATGGTTGGTATTGCAGTGAGGTTCTGTGTTTTATGTGACTTGATGCCAGTGATGGATGTTGCAGCATGTCTTACTCTTTGCTATGTTAGGGTTACCATGAATGGGGTTATGCATCATGATGAGCTGAATTAGAAGAAGTATAGGTTAATGTTCTGTAAAGCTACTTGGTTTGAGGTAGATATCAAGGGAGTACAATTGATATATTTGATTGGTTCTTTGATCTTGAATTAATGTTATTTTCAGAATTAAGAGAAGAGATACAGATGTTTTCTTTATGAATCAACACAAGGGATGATTAGATCTCTGGTGAGAGTCAGAATGGTTATTACCGTATGCTTAAACATAGAGTTAATGCCCTACTGGCTCTAAACATAGAATCATTTATTGAAAGTTGTAGGCCTACATGCATGTACTGTATGTCCAAATATAAATCTGAGTATTTCATTTACATATATTTATTTAAAAATATGGAAATAGGTTAATGTCTCAAGTCGTAGCAAAATCTAATTGCTTGAGGTAAATATGCTTAATGTAAAATGTCAGGGCAAAGCAATTGGACCTAAAAGAACCATTACATAGTTCTTTGTATTAGCTTGAAGACACTCATTGACATTCAGTAGACAGCTAGACAAAGCATGTTTACATGGAGGTTATTAAGGTGCCAGGATCTAATCGTCTTTATGGGACCAATAAGTACGCCCACCAACCCCTCCACGGGGGAGGGATCGTGATGCCTTCCAGTGGTGGTGGTGGTGAACTCACCGACACCGGTGTGTTCTTGGGGTCTTGGATGGTTCCCAATGGTCAAATTGGTTATGATTCATCATCCTCAATCAAGGTTACCATGACAACATCCCCTCCTGCCATTCATCTATCCGGCAGAGGCACGTGTGTATCACACGCCATTACACATAATGAGAATCTGTTGTGCGCAAGTGCGTACGTACGTGTGTGTTTGTGTGTCTGTGTTTAGGTATATGATGAGGCTTTGTGTGTATGTTTCGTTAGTAGTGAGATGAGATGTTGTGGGCCGATGAAAAACAATTTACTGTTCCACATCCCATGCTTACTTATCGTAGTTACTGTGTTGATATATTTTACTTGTTAATCATCTTATTGACATAATTGAGCAGCTTTCAATGGGATATGTGCATTTATTGTTAATATCCAGAATTTCCAGATACGGATGTATCCAATTCAGTTTATTTTCCATATTCAGTGCATATTCATATAGTCACCATGTTGCTTTAATGAGCCATATATTATTATTCATCTCCTTGTCAACTAAACTAGTTCTCTCTGGGATGTGTCAATATTGTTCTCTGTCTCTTTCATTACCAAGGTTTGCCAACTTCATATCCTTTCCAGGAGGAGTAAACAAAGAATATTAATATCTGAAATTCATTAATATCTTGCTTGACACAGTGTGGCTGGATAACAATTACAAAATTTGTTACATACGAGCATATTTGTCATTCCACGCAATATCAGGGAGCAAATGACCTTGGAATTGTACCACTATTATCATGTAAATTCAGCCAAACCATCAATCAGATGGCAGGAAATTTGTAGGCAAGGCTACAGGATATGATTGCAGATTTGTTCTCCTAAAAAAATAGTTAAACTAAAAAAGTTCCCCATACAGTGGTTGTTCTATGCCTGCCTCTGTCTGTCTTTTTTAAATCAAAGAAAGAAAATTTCTTAATTTAGACTGCGGATACGTCAGTTTCACACCCCCTAGAGTAGCAAGTCTTCTTTAACTGATAATTAAAATTGCCCCTTTTTGTTGCAGTGCATGGCACTCGGAATGGCCCAAAAATCAATAGCACTTGCCACCCATTCTTTCAAACATTGCCTTTGCAGCTGACAGAGGAAATGTAATTTCGCACAGAAACTGTCGCCCCCTCTGCTTATTAAAATATCTGCCATGTTCCACTAGAAAAGTCTTGAAATGAATGGCTTTTGTGCCAGATTTTGTAGCCATACTTCCCAGGTCTGTTGCTCAGAGAGGGAGGGAAAAAATGTTTGAATGCATTTGAGGAATTTACATAGGCTACAAGCAGACAGTAACAATAGCATTTCAAATTAGATGACGACCTTGCCCAGTCTTGTTAAAGAGTGCATGTAGCCAATACTAAACTTTATCAAGTCCAATTATCCTCTGTTTGAAGCCAGAAGAATATTAACCGTTATCTACTTTAACACAAAGTTAAATGCCCTTCTGACTCAGTCTGAACAGATAATATCCTTTAAAAAAATCATGAGGTTAGTCCTTTTTTGTTGTAGACAAAGAAGCACATTATTTGGAATGATTTGTAAATAGAAGAAGAAAAGAGGCCTTTACAGTCCTTTTGTAGCAGTCTGGAGTAATGCCGGAAGGATCGTATAATTGAAAAGAGGAAATGAAGTTTGCTATCTTCATTAGATCTTAATGTATTATAACATGATACATTGAGGAAGATAGGGACGATGAGAAAAGATTAAATAAGAGGCAGGAAAAGGGTTGAAATTGATGTATGGTATAAGTAAATTTCCTTGATATCTATATCATCATGCCCATTCATGCGCCCATCATATGGAGACAGAACGGAGAGAAACTAATAGCCTCTTCAGACTTATGGACATTTATACAAACCTTGTAAAGAATAGCGTCATGTAAAGAATCAATGTATAGCAAAAGAAGCTTAAAGACTAGAAAACAACATCGTATAAAGAAACAAATTTTGAAGAGGTTAATTGATCTTCAGTGCACGCTCAAAAATTGAAAAGCCCTGCCCATTTATACAATTTTTTGTTCGAAAGTGTTTTGCTATACGATGAATCATGGTAGTCTGAATGGAGGGATGTTCAGCCTCCTGATTCAATGATTGGGTTCTATGGGGTGTGATAAGAGGGTGAAGATATTTGATTGAGCTGGATTAGGAGGTGGCGCCAACTTACATCGGGGAGGGTGCCCACCACAGCTGTGTTTCATGAATTATAAATGTCCCGCTAACTACTAATAGAATTACAGGCTCTTGTTTGCTGATTTTCTATTGTTTTCTTCAAAGTTTAATGGCTGCTCTTAATAGTGCAACATCAGTTAAGCGTTCAGTCATAGCCAGTATTCTTTTAACAGTTGATAACATCTACAGTGGTTGAAGTCTTGATTATATTAAGAATAGTCTAATATAAAATCATTGCACTGAATTCAGTAACATTTGCATATTCCTTCTTTCCCCGTGAAGTGTGCATCCACACTTCCACCTGTCTTACTCTCTCCCTATGCCCATACACAATTGTCTTATTTTAGGCATGAATTTTGTTTGTTGTTGGTTCTCTTTTGGTGTTTTAAAGCAGAATTTTGCCGCAAACTTGGGAATTTACATCTTATCTTTCAAACCAATAATGTGTACAGGCTGTCATCCTTATCAACAAATTATAGATTTTATCAAATTTTCATGAATAATTTTTGAAGTGTAATTGGTCTCTCCCTTCCCTAACTTATATGATCAAGGGAATGACTTAATATTGGAAGAATTCTCAAGTGAATTTCAGCCTTTCAATAGGAAGGTAGATGTGACATTTCTATTACTTTGCGTTTCAGTTCCTGACAAATAGAAAATTGAATTAAAAAAAAAGTGATGCTAGACGATTTGCTAACACATCAAAGAGCGTGACATGTCGTCGCTGTTTTCACGAAGTGACGGTAGTGAAAAAAAATTGCATTCACTTTGCGTTACGATTTTCCTCACTACCGTCACTTCGTGAAAACAAGGACGATGTGTATAAAAGAAAAGAAATATAGAGGATATACATGTAGGAAAAAAACAAAAAATCGGAATTGATCAACGTATCATCTTTCTATGGTGTTCTTTACAGGTTTTCTGAAAAGATAGATGCTAAAATGGTTTTCCACCTTTCCTGTAGCTATATGCTATAGGCAACTGCAAATTGAAAATTCATGAAAGAGAATTGCAATTTTGATTGGACGTATTTCTACAACATAGCCATATTCTAATTTTTTGCCGGCTTTCATGCAAGGATAGAAGAAAGCTGTAAATGAAAGAACATGTCGCTGCTGAGAATGCATATTAACCACGGCCTGTGTGTGTGGCAAGTTCACACGGCTGGCATTAATCAATACTGCGTAAAATGCCGCAAATATTTGCAACTTGCTGGCTTTTTATGAGCAGAGTATTGATTAGACAACAATATCAATGTGATGTCTCTAGCGTTGGTAAACATATTAAAGCTAGGTACCTGCCAGTGTTTTATTTCAGCTAAGCTAATATTTAATCAACTTTTCCTTTCTTTCTCTTTTTCTCTTTATCTTTAGATGACTCGTGCATTGCAAGTCAAGCCAGCCGACAGTGAAAGCAGAGGAGGTAAGGAAAATATTCAAACTTATTTGCAAGCCACAGAACAAACATGGAAAACATGTATTTTAATTTGAATAGAACGTATGATTTCTACCGTGAATGTTGCAGAATGAGTAAGGTATTGAAATTGTATGACCAGTCGTACAATCAATCACTTGCATTGTTGTATGAATAAATGGTAAGGCAGATTATCAAGCAGCTTTTGTCCCTAGCTCTTTCTCCCATTTCTGTCTTCTCCCTGTATTCACTCTCTCTTTTCTCTCTCTCTCTCTCTCTCTCTCTCTCTCTCTCTTCTCTTTCTCTTTCTTCTCTTTCTCTTTCTTCTCTTTCTTCTCTTTCTCTTTCTTCTCTTTCTTTTTCTCTTTCTTCTCTTTCTCTTTCTTCTCTTTCTCTTTCTTCTCTTTCTTCTCTTTCTTCTCTTTCTCTTTCTCTCTTCTTTTTCTCTTTCTTCTCTTTCTCTTTCTTCTCTTTCTCTTTCTCTTTCTTTTTCTCTTTCTCTTTCTTTTTCTCTTTCTCTTTCTTTTTCTCTTTCTTTTTCTCTTTTTCTCTCTTCCTCTCCCCTCTCTGTCTTTCTCATTCCCTCTTCCTCTTCTATCGTCAATTCTATATCTCTTCCCAACCTCATCCATCTCTCCTTTTATCTGTCTTTTCTTGTCCATTATCATCTCTCTCTCACTCTCTCTCTCCCATCTATCTGTTTCCCACCATCCCTTTCTTTCTCTCTATTATTCTCTCACTCTTTCCCCCTTCTCTATCTTCCTTTCCAATTCTCTTTCTGTGGTAGGAAATTGTTGCAATATGATTGAAGCCTGAATTTTGCATCATGAATAGTTACAATCCCACTCCCAGCTACATCCATGGTAGAAAATACATGAATATAATTTCATCATGCTCTTGAAGCAATGAAGTCTTAAAAAGTCACTACCGGAACTCTAAAATGATCAAAGTATAAAGGAGTTAAAGCATTACAACCAATTTTGAAAGATTCTACATAATCATCAATTGTGCTTGATACAACTTCATGACGAACAGGTAATGCTTTATATCTTGAAATGAAAATCTATAAAGGAAGAATAATTTCTGAGGTTATAAATCATTTTCTCAAAATATTTTTTAAATGAACCTGTAGGGATTAGGGTGTTTACAAATTAATAGTGTTGTACCGCTTCATGTTATGAGTAAGATAATGAGCTAAATTGATGTCAGCAGAAAATCCTTTATTTCAAAATGAATAATTTGTCAAGTGCTAGATGGACAAAGACGAGATGAGTATTTCTGATTTACATACTGAATCCTGGGGCTTTATGGAAGTGATTCTTTTAGGAAGTGCTTCTTTTAGGCATTGAGACATGATTATCACAGTGCTATATAGCAAGCTACATCAAACCAAGAGTTTGGAAGACAGTAAATTATCAATCACTATACCCTTGAGAATATGCTTGTGGTGAAAAGAAAATGTTATTCCTTAGAAAGAGATCAAATGCAAATAGTGTGTTTACCCCTCTCCATCATGATTCCTTCAAATATATTAACATTGCCATCAAGAAACGACAAATCCTCCGGTCGTACTTCTTTTGCTCGCATTAAGATAAATTGCTCAACGTAATTGGGCTTGATGTCCAGCAAACGTTGCCTTTCTTCCACAGTTGATTTAGTCCTCTGCCTTCTTAGATTCGTTGATTGTTTGCAAGGTAAATAGGGATTGGCACTTTGCGATAGCCAGGAGTAGTTTATACCATCTTAAAGTAGTGGGCTGCATCATATCCTGTTCATACTCAAGGGAATGTATTCAAAATTTGTACAGAAAAACGTTGTATATAGATAATAGAATTACTGTATAGTGAAAGAGGCACACACGCACGTGATAGGAAAATGTTCATACAATCAGGAAGATTGTGAGTTAAATTACCTGGTATAATGAAACATCATAAAGAAACTAGTCTTTTTAAGAGGTCAGGTGACATATGTTATGTATCAACTCCAATGAATCCTGGCCAATCATCAGTTAGTGCTTACGATGAGCCCCCCCCCCCCCCCAGTTACTAAATTTTTTTCTCCATAAGACATTCACACAAGAAGTGTGAATTTTTTATAGACATGTTTGAAAAAAAGTTGTATAGATAAACAACTGTGTCGCTGTTTGACTTTTCATTAAGTTGTGTTCAGACTAGAAAGAAAAAAAATCATGTACGGCACAGTTTTCGTACAGTTGTACATTGAAACTTTAGTCTGAAAGAGGGGGGGGGGTAACCTATTAAGTTCTTAGGCTCACTATTCATTTAAGGCTGTTAACCTTCTCTGAGGCTCACGACCAACTCAAGACAAATCTCCTTTTTTGTAGAATGATTGAGATGGAAAAGTCCACAATATTTGTCCTCTACGTAACTGACTGTTTGTAGCTACCATATACATGCCTCTTCTAGCAAAATCGGCTGGTAGTTCTATACAACTCAATCTCAATTTAAAGACTGATGCAATTATTCCTATTGAAGATTCATTGTAGATTACCCACTTCTATAGCTAATAAACAACAACAAATAATAATAATAGCTTTGAATTTGCGTTGATGAGAAGCACAGCATATTAATGAATCAATTAGTATGCCATCCATGAATAAACCATCCAGCAATTATTCATTTTGATGACTAATATATGGTCCTGCTTACCTACTAATTGATCGCCGGTCATGGAGCCAGGATGATTGCTATTCAGTATAGCTCTTACCAACAGCCATCTGTATGCTCTGTTTTTGTTAGCCATCCTTACGATAAGACAAAAGCCTGACATGTTTGAATGAGTGGATGGATGGTTGGCAAATTGTGGGGTCAATGCATGTTTTTGAGGGCCATATGTGGTGCATACATTTCCAAGGGAATGCCAATAAGTCCATATCTGCCACAGATATTGATTTTCACCCCGTTCCCAAACGGGCTTTATACATGTACGGGGCCTTGCATACGGGTCAATGGAATCAATAGAATTTACATGATGGAGTAGTGGGTTAGGGAAAAGGGTTGGAGAAAGTAAAGAGAGAGAGAGAGAGAGAGAGAGAGAGAGAGAAAGATGGGGAGGATTATTCACAGGGTTTTAATACATAATTTAAAGTAAGAGATTAAAAAGTAGAGAGATGGAGAAATGAAAGGATAAAGGAACACAATAGAACAAGAGAAAGTGTGTGTGTCAGATAAGGAGATTGAGTAAACGAATTAGAAAAACTAAATGAAAAAGAAATAAATTGTTTAAAAGGAATGTAAAAAAAGAAGAATTGAGAATGAAAGAGGGAGAGGGGAAGAGAGGGGGAGAGAGGGAGAGAGAGAGAGACAGATGTAGAGTGTCAATATTTACGTTACAGAAAACATGATTCTATATTGTTTAAAATACTAAGAAACATGCCTGTTTTCTGAATTACAAAGACAAAATAAACAGATTTTGGTACATGAATCATAACCTTTTGATATCCAAAGGCTATAAAGGTGGTAGCAATTTGCAAGATTCCTGACTTGAAATGGAAACACACCTGAACTTATCTTGTGATTAATTTTCAACAATTTAGAAAAGGACATTTCCTTGCATCCACCCTCTCTCCCTCTCTCTCTCTGTTGGGTATGATATGATTTCTAAGACAAACTGTTGTATAGTTTTGGGATCAAATTCCACTCTCTCTTCTTGTACTCCGTTCCATTTCCTATGATTCTCAGGTTACTGCAGGGAAAAAGAAGTAATCTGTTATTTTTGAAGGACACTCATTTGTTTCATTCCCTCACCCTCAATCAGTGAGGTACATTGTGGCTTTCCAAGTAGATTCCTCTTCCTGGTGCAAATCAAATTTGCTCTCGGCGTTTGGCTCCATCAAAAGAAAAGCCCAAATCGCCTTTTCAAAACACCTGTGAAACTCCTCTTTCCAATCTTCAAAATCACCTCTGTGCAGAGGAACCGGAAGATAGAACAATCACAGAAGGCTGCAGAGCCACAGGCTTTCTCTCTGAAAGCAAATCATCAAATTCAACCTTTTCTAGTAAAATTCAATCTTAGTATGTTCTCTGCTTCTTTTTGTCTGCATCAACTCAAAAATTAAGGGGGAAAATCCATTAATAGATATTCCCATAGTATTTTATGAAGGAAATGAGTTGGAATTGAAAAAGAAAATCAATGAAGAACTTGTTTTCCTTTCGTGGACAATTCATTGTTATTACATTTTTACCACCATCAGTTAGAGAAGAGTTGATACAGTTGAATACTGATGATTTAATCATAAACAATTAGAAAATGACAATTTTTACATTTCTTTGTCATTGCCAATTTTGTGTTTGTTTTTGTATATGTTTTGGGGATAAACCCTTATTTTTTTAAAGTTTTTTAAGTTGCTTGAGGAATACTGGTAGAAATCTGTAAAATGCTATGATTTTTTTTGTGTGTGTTAACAGAATTTGTGTGTAATAGGAGAAAGGGCACCCCCTCCAGAAATATTAAAATCAGACAGTGATGAGTTGAGTTGGGTAAACTCCGTCCCCTCTCATCAATTCAAATTACTGCTCATACCCTCTGAGCAGCGCGTTCCATCTTTTTTTAACCCTCTTATTCTATCCATCTTAGTCTATCCCTTCCAGCCATTTTGCGAAATGGAGAGAAGGGCAAATCCCATGTTCAGGATAGCAAACTTAACTATAGGTTTCTTCTTCTTGTCTGAATGTCATATAACAAAACATTGTATAAAAAACCATCGTAAAGTGATTTGGATATTTGAAGTTGTTAGGAAGTTAAGTCAAAGGATCAGGGTCTGCTTCTGATCAAAAATAGTGTAACTAGCAGCCTTTTCACACACAGCTAAAATTCTATAAACATGATTAGTATAAACGTGTTTAAACTAATCACCTGAACATACGACATCATTCACACACAGAAATTTTGGTGCGATCGTTAATCGTTTCATGATTACCTACTGCTTGTAAAATGCGCAGTAGTGCCATTGCGCATTGAAGGTCATGTCATATCAATCAAAGCGCACG